CCCCATCCGTGGCATCCTGCTGATATTCATTCTCCACAGCGTGCTCTGCTCCTTTCCAGGACAGATGCTGCATCTCTCAATGCCACCACTCGGCTACAGGAGTTCTTCCGATGCCAAGCGGCAACTGTGGGTGTGGGATTTCCGTAGGAGACTGTTTTCATTTTAGGTGCCTGAATGGATGTTCTTCGTCCTCGTACTGTAGCGGCTACGTCGTAGCGTTCCCTTGAATTCAAATCGCTTGGATGGGGCTCTTGCTGCGTAGCGGCGTAGTCATTGTGGCGTTTGGTTGTCCTGACGAGTTCTTGGTAGTGATCCTGTTTTTGCAGTAGTGCTTCAACCAAGCAGGCCACAAGCTCTAGTAGGGCTCAGAGGCAACATTGGCAACTGCAGTTGTAAGATGATGTCCCGGGCATCATGGTGATGAACTATGGCAGGGTTGGCTGCTTTTGTTGAATGGCACCTGTTTCCCAAGTTGGTAACACATGCAAGTTTTCTCACGCAACTTCGGGCGGCACAAGTATGTTTGGGGGGCAAAGACAGGCTTCAATCATGTCATCACATCTTTGTCTTATTGCCGAAGCCCTTTACATAGATGTTTCCTACCAGTTGTCCGGGAGATGGATCGTGAACCCAGGGATTCTGTCCTCAGCAATGGCCAGATGGGTGTATTTCAACGCCAAAGCAGTCCTTCTAATGAGAACGTTGAATCCTCCCATGCCGTCACAGCTTAAGAGAAAGAGCAGAATCTGCATGGCCCTGCTTGCCATTTGTGTCTTAGCAGCTGCCATTGTGGGGTAACTCGTACAGAACAGAGCACACAGTACTTATGTGAACAAGGCCATGGCAGTGCTCTGTAATCTGTAGTGGGAGATCTTTGCAAATTTCGTGTGCCATCTGAAGTGAGAATACCTTGCTTCCAGCAAAGATGCTGGCCAGAACCTCAGTCCATGCAAAAAAGCCAAGCAACCAGTCGTCAACATTCAGGATACCCAAATACCAAGCCACAACCGCCTTCAACATAGCTGAAGCTACCGTTCGATTGGGCGGATGCTCAGACACGTCCAGTGGGCGGCAATCTGATGGAAAGCTGTTGGACGAGTAGTTCCTGTCAAAGCATACAAGCCCCCTTGCCTCGGCACGCGCTGACCTGCAAAGGGAGCTTATGCATTTTCTGGAACCATGAAATCTCAGACACTTTGAAGCTAATAACACATAGGCTTCAAACCCATGAAAGGATGGGAACGCATGGCGGCAGCTGAGCTTTTGGTGTCTTTGGCTGAGTTGAGTCACCCATGTCCCTGTAGAGTACAATATCAGGAAGTTAGAAGGGAACATCAAGATTGAGATGGGGCATTTGGCACCAGCCGCAATGGCACGGCCCAAATGCTATTGGGCGGGTCCCCGAATTCAAAAAGGCAATCGGGGTTTTCAGAACAAGGACACTGCCTGATTTTTGCGTCCTCTGGCCGCGCTGTGGTGAGTATATCCACCCCGCTGTGGCCGAGCGAACCTTGATTGAACATAGAAGCCGCTACAAGCCCCTGGCATCGTCGTCTGTAGGGACCTGATGGACAGAAGCAACCCAGAGATCTAGCTAATGGGGCATGCGTGGGCATCTCACTTTTGCAGCGGTTGGTTTTTCGGCTGCCTTGCATCAGGACTTGAACAGTGCAGGGATACCCCTTTCGTACAGAAGGCCCTTTCTGGAAACGCACGCACGCAGAGAACCTTGTACTTGAGGGGCCATGAGGGATTCTTACCATGCTGTTGTCTACGGCCCGCAGGTCTCATCATCACAATGCAGGAAATTGTCACATGCCTAGCAGCACGGAACTGAGGCTTCGACCCCAACAGCTGCCGTGCGGACATGCGCGAACAGTTGCAAAAGCTGCGCTGGTGCCCACCATCGACTTGAAAGTGCAACTGCGAGTACGTAAGTCCAAAGGTCTTTCTGATTGGGACACTGACGTCCTAGACTCAAGGAGCAGCACACAGTTTAAGGTTGGATGAGCATAAGTGCCATCTGGAGATTTCTGCAAAAGTGTTACTTCGCAACCCCGAGATCCAGTGTAAAGTCGTAGGCAGCATTTGGGAACGTCTTCGCGCTCCGATACAGGGGGTAGCACCACAGTTACCATACTAAATCTTTGCAGCTTTTGTCGTAAGGTGAGGGCCCGCAAGAAGGCTCACCTAGGACTTTGTGTGTCCTATGTTATGGATTGTGAGGCTCACCTACGGGGTCTTCGAAGACCTGCTCGTGAAACACGTCCAAAGCCAGCTCACAGGTCAAGCAAGCAAGGTTGTCCATATTGACATGGCACAGGGCATTGGGGGACAGGAGTCGGAGGGGTAAGAAAAAGTCTCAGACAGCAGCAGCGTCACACACGTGCTTACCAATTGGGAGCACAACCCTTTGGGCTCACAGTGTTGGCGCTAAACCAAGCGTCCACCAATCTTGCAAGCTGGTGCAGATCATGATGACTTACTGACGCCGCACACCTAGTTGGAACCACAGCATGCAGATAGCAACCAAATCGAGGGCACAGCCGCTTTCTTCGAATCCCAAAAGCTAAGCAGTTTCTGCAAGCCGCATTTTCATGAGAGTGGCTTAAAGTTACCCACCCTCAAGCGTCTACGGTTTACAACCCAGACCCAGGGCTTTTGGACATTGGCTGCTCATCCACCCATATTTGCCAGGGCTAGGTGAGAAGATGATGTTTCTGCTGCATGTATATTTGCCCTGACGTGCAGAACCCCAATGCGTGGCCAACAAATCTTTGTGAAGATTCCGAATCTCCAATAATTCAATAAAAAAGGTTGGGTTAGGCCCCGCCCAGCAAGAGTGGCACTATAGAAATATACTCAAATAAATGGATATATATATATAAAGGCGCCTCAATAACATTAGCATCATCCCTTGTGGTCCCCATGATGCGGCGGGTGAGGGCACAATCGAGAGTGTAGGTGTCTTAGCAGAGCATGGAGGATCAGGATCATTCCGTTTTTCTGGGGACGGCGGCGCGCTGTGACGAAGGCCTCGTCCTCGGGTCAGGGTTGCACAAACATGGGTCCGGGGCTGGGTTTGGAGGTTCTCTTGTTGTCCCAGGAAATGGTTTTGAAGGACCCTGAGCTTTGGGCCCATTCGGAGTTTGAGTGGGTTCTCTTTGGCTGTTAGGGGCCTTACCATGCCGCTGAAATTCATCACGGAATATATCAAAGCTCTGACCATATGGGCAACTTGAAGATTTTACGTGTGTAGCTATCCTTCAGGCCCCGGAGATAGACCCTTTTTAAGGCCCCATGTCACGTGAAGCTTTGAGAGCCTGACCCCGTGCTCACGGTCGTATGTTATTGATATTCGCAGGGTCCTGATTTTAGATGCCATGCTCCCCGAATTGTATGATAATCGCAAGGTCCAAATTTCCGGGGTCGGGTTCGTCGAGCAAGCAGTGATATCTGAAAGGTTTGGGATGTCCTAATTTAAGTTGGCTTGGCCAATTTGTCATACGACTACAAAGGCTTCCTGACTTTGTGGGTTGCTCCCTTTCTCTGCTTTCTCAGGTCTACAGCGCTCATTCACCCTTACTACCTGTAATACCCCGCTTCACCAATCTTGGCTACCCCCTGCAGATGAACATAAAACACAGAATAACTCCCCGTTGAAAACGTCTATCTATCTATCTATCTACCTATAGATTTTACCGGATTTTGGAGGGTTCCAGGGAAGTTTGGGAAAGAATCATTGGCAGCAGATCAATCCCAGGGCTCGATTGGCTGGGTGTTCCGGATGACACTGGAGCTGCGGGCAAGCAAGGCCACCGGGCTTTTGTTTAGGGTTTAGGGTTACTCAACTCCTTGGGACTTAGCTTGAACCTTATATTAACCCTTTGGGATTCCCTTATACTTCTATTGTAGGTACCTAAGAGTTAACCCTTAGTAGGGGTCCTACGTGCCACGTAGTGTATACATACATATATATATATAAATATATAATGCCTGCCGTACATACATATAATAGGTTGTGTATGTATATATATATATATGTATAGATTGTGTATTGTTGCACGTGAGTATGTACTTGCTCAGGCTTCCTGTGCAAATTAGGAGGTGGAAGTGATAATGTGCACTGGAGTTAGGCCGCAGTTGCAGCAGACCTGGTCCATCTATCCGTTGGTCTATCTGTTTGGCGGGCATTCTCCATGATGTCGTTTCATGTGTTTGGCGAATTAGACCACTTGTGGGGTTTCGGGCGGGCTGGACTGGATGTTCGCGGCCTGGAGCAAGTTGGGTTTTGCTCGGAGCTCAATATGGTAGTCTCCCTAAATCGGGGGACCCCAACATAGACCCCAATATACTTTAATCCTTACTATAGGGACCCCCAGAAAGGTACCCTTCACTTTGGGAAGCTGCTTTTCTTGTTTTTTACACCTGAGCCGGTTGATTCGCCAAGGGTACCAAGAGCTTGCCCAACCCCACAACTTACTGGGGGCTACTAGGGAATAAGGGAAGATCGTGCATAGATCTTAGGGATCATGTTCATCCCTTGTTCCCTACTATCCCCCAGTAAGACAACAGCCTGATGCAACCGTTCCTTCAGCCGCCTCCGGCTCAAACAAGCCGCAGTCATTCACTCAGACTCGCATAAGCATAATGGTTAGAGTCCTCTCCAGACCAGAAGCCCACAAGAATCGGCATTCTTGGCATGAACCTGAGAAAGTATAGAGATGTTGACATCAAAGACATCCCTCTCGGAGGTCAGTTGCCAGTCGTTGCAACAAGCAGTATCGGAGGCCCTGGAGGTCGTGGCTTGCAACTCGGCGCAGATCTCTTGCATGCTTGCTTCCGAGCTAGCAAAGCAAAGGGCATATCCTCTAGTTAGATCATGTTAGATCCAACTGTGGCGTGGTTTGTGACATTTGCAGACTAGATGTTGCCAAATCCTCATAGAAACCGGAAGCCTTGAGAAGCCCGCGCCTCTTTAGTGCAAAGCCCTGCTTCAGGTTTACTTCGGCCCCTGGACCTCCAGATCCTGTAGAGCTGCTTCGAGACGCCTCCATTGGTGTGGATGGTGCCTAGTAGAAAGAGATGAGATACTTTTTTGCTTGTGCGGGTTCTAGGGTGGCCCCCCCAGGACTCTACCACATCTTTTGGTCGCCTAGTCATTATAGATTTCATGTAAGGCATTTTGCGGGTACAGCTGCAGAATCTTACGGCAAGCCCTGTCCCCAAAAACTGGGAAGAGCCCACGCGTCCTCCACATAGACCATTACCCTTGCTGCAGACCTCTTGAGCAGTCCCCTGCTCCGACTTGCGCAAACCCATTTTGGCTTGTCGCATGTTTCATCAGGTTTCTTCGATGATGACGAGGCTGAAAGGCACTGCGAAGAGAAGTCACCAGAGTCGGAGTTCATGGTTTGCATGGTCTTTGGCGGAAAGTTTGGCATCCTGGCAGCAAGCACTTCAGATCACACAGCAAGGTGTGGGCTACTAGCCAAAGTAAGGTCCCATCGATGCTCAATAACCAGTCGGCACAGGGTGTGCAGGCTTACAGTATAGTTACCGGTTGGTAATCTCGCCTAAGCATGTGCCTCGTGTCCCACACCCGCATCAGGTTCACTGCCACAGGGCTTTCTGAGCGGGTAGCTATGGGTCGTGCTGGGGCGTATTTGGTAGTTTACAAAATAGGGAGATCCCAATATAGACACCAAAAATACTATAATCCGAAGTATGAGGACCCGAAGAAGGTACCCCTAATTTTGGGAAACCTTTATATAGAGGGCACACAAAGTCCAAGAGACACCCATGCGCTTCAAGGCTGGCTTCGCGACGAGTTCACTGCTGGCGAGACATGGGGCACTCTTCGGCCGCTGCAAGAAACCTTGCGTCCATGGCTGGAGGAGGGCAAGTGCCTTTACTTCGCAAGAGTATGAGCAGTTAGAGTATTAGTAGAAGACAAGTGATAGTAAAATCTGGAGGTTTCTGCTTTGCGTATCTCGTTCATGCAGGAATTTCCTAAGCGTGTAGTGACTGCCCTTGTTAAGGGCTTTTTTGCAGAAAGGTTGTCAGCTTTCTGGGTCTACCCTGTCGGACCTGATGTGTGGGAAGCAAGATCCACGTTGCAAGCATACAGGTGCGCACAGCACATCGAGTGGGACGAAGATGAGCACTGTCAACTCGTTTGCAAGAAAGCGGTTGAGGTGTGTGGCGGCATGCCATTGTGCGTTTCTGTGACAGGCTGCAAGGTACTTTGCAGCCGCCTGCCCTTTCTGAAAAGTCCATGAAATGGCACTTGCAAGTATCCTGAGGGACTGGAAGCGGGTCCCTAAACTTTTGATTTAACCCTAAAGTTTATATCCGGAAACGATGTAAACAAACAACAGGCAATTGATCATCCATCAACTCTGGGTTAGGTGATTCTCTTTCAACAAATCCTGCACCAAGTAACATACCTCCCACTGCTGGCAAACAGAACGCTTCCGCAACCTCAAGGTCAAGTTCTGCAAGCTTTTCCTCCCTCGACCCTACCAAACCTAAAGCCTAAACCCCAAAAGTCTGAGGCTATGCTCTGTCTGAGCCCTACAAGTCCTACGTTGCATGGAATGACCCGTCCAACCTTGCTGCCATGGCAAATGACGCGTTCCTTGCCTGCTTCCCATGGCTTAGGACAAGTTAATGTATGCACGCCTGGGGATATAGTCCCCTTTAAGTAGATAGAATATGGCTTGGGTATATCATAATAAGATCCTTATATACCCTATGTTCTATCTACTTAAGGGTGGCCTATAGCATGAAACCCGGCCTACATGCTGTTCGCAAAGGCCAAGGTTTGGGTTTGTATGGGGGTTTAGGGCTTAGGCTTTAGGGTTTAGGCTTTAGGGTTTAGGGTTTAAGGTTTAGGGTTTTGGGGTTTAGGCTTTTGGGTTTAGGCTTTAGGGTCTTACTGGCGGGAAGGGTTTCCAGGGGTCCAACTACCCAAATAGCATATGCGCACACCCCTTTATTTCTACGTAGGATCCCATTGGCGGCAGAAGCCTATACTGCATAGGTACTTGAACACTTTGGGCGTTGTGGTCAGTTGAGGACGGAGGGGCTTGCTCTCCAGGTAGTAAACTGTTCAAGTCAGGCGGTCCAAAATCTCGTTTACTGGGTGATAATTTTCAGGAAAAGGATAATTTTCAGGAAAAGATACATGTGTAATTTCCCAAATTAGGGAACCCCAATGTAGTCCCAAAATACTAGGTATAATCCTTCTTTTTGGGACCCCCAACAGGTACCCCTTTTTTGGGAAACCCACATACATGTAGATGTTCGCTTGCTCGGAAGTTTTAGTACACAATTGGTCTCAAGCCAAGACTCCTTGCCCTACAAAGTAGTAGATTTCGTGGACCCTCGGTACTTTGACATAATGTTTTAGGGTTTAGGGGCTAGGGCCCTACATAATGACCATTATCCTGAATTAGCCAGTAGAATCAGTTTTAATGAGTGGGGGGTCTACTGAAGCAATAGAAATGTATCCGCATCACTTGCAGAAACCGTGAAATTCTACACGTACTGGGTTGCTAAAGGATAAGGGCTTAGGATGTAGGGTTTAGAGGATAGAGTGTGTTGCTGTTACCCAGGTCCGTCATCAAAGCATGGCATAGATCTTTGATAAAATGTGGTCGCAATGATTGTCGCGGGCACTAGTATCCCAAACTGTTAACCCGAACGCCCCAAACGCTATAAACCCTAAATCCTAAACCTTAAATCCTAAAGCCTTAATCCTAGTCCCTAAATCCTAGATCCCAAACCCTGAATCCTAATCCCTAAACCCTAAATCCTTTCCCCTAAACCCTAAATCCCGAACTTGAAATTCTAAAAACTCCACACCCTAAACCTTAAATCTTAAATCCTAAACCATGAACCCTAAATCCTAAATCCAAAGCCCCAAGATTCTTGAGCCGCAGAGCCAGGCCAATGAAACCGCAACTACCGGAGGAGGAGGACTTCTAGCTTGCATCTCTAGGGATAGGGTTTAGGGCTTAGGGCCTAGGAAGCAGGATTTATGGTTCAGGCTTAGGGGTTCGGATTTAGGCTTTTGGATTTATAGGGTTCATGGATGACAGTACAATCAAGTTGAAAATGGAAAACGAACGGAAATCTGGGGTTAGATGTGCCGGGGTCAAGATTACCGCTATTGTCAAATAGTAAAGGTTGGTGAAGGCAAAGATGCGAAAACGACGCGGAACGACATGGGTCACCCTAGAAAGTGCAAACAAGAAGTCTTGACGCCTGTTCATTTTGGGGGCGTCTGGGGACAATTCCAGTATTTCGGAAATGGAGCAGAAAAACGCGAAGCCCTAGACCCTAAACCCTATACTTTAGACCTTGGGGTCAGGGTTCAGGGCCAATTGGGCCTGTAGGAGCAATGGGTCCCTGTATTGGGCAGGTTTGGGATTCTTGGTCGAGCAAGTTCACGGCTTTGGTGTCCCTAGTCCCTGAACCTAAACCCTAAAACCTAACAGCGCTAGACCCTGAACCATAATACCTAAACCCTAAACCTGAAAAGCCCTAAACCCTGAAGCTTAATACCCAAACCCCAAACCAAAAAGGTCTCAAACCGAAAAACCTAATACTCAAATCCTAAACCCGCAAGGCCTTAAACCCTAAACCCGAAGACGTAAACCCTAAACCCGAAAAGCCCTAAACCCTAAAACCCAATACTACAACCTAAACCTCTGGTCTGAGGCAAGCCTCGGGTAGTAGGTTTGCTTACAGATTACGCGTAGGCCTATAGCCCAAAGGGTCCATGTACCCAATAACTAGGTACCCCTTAAAGGGATCTATAGGGGTATATAGGGATACATGGCGTTTAGGGTTTAGGGTCCCAAGAATTAGGTACTTGGGTTTTGGGCAATAGGAATTATAGTACAGGTTTTGGGCAAGTATATGATTATTGTACTTGGGCCCTTAGGGTAGAGTTACCAGCATTCTGGCTGTAGATGGTATAGGGCCTACATAGGTGAACTGGCAACTGGCCTGATCCAGTGGTTTATTGGGATTGTACTGGAGTGGAGGCAAACCTGAATGGTTGCCAACATTATGGTTTCTGCTTAGGGTTAGGGCATTTTGGTTCTAGATTGCTTTAAACTCTTGCTATAGGGTACCTCAAAAAGACCTCAACATGATATTGATATTTATATGGACCCCAGTATTCGTGGGGTGTGCGTCTTTGGATTTGGGGAGTTGGTTTCAGCCCTCATGGGAATCACCCTAAACCAGGATAAACCCAATTATGGTATATGCACTTGTGTCTAGGGTTTGGGAGATCGGGTCTACTTCAAGGAGCATTAAAACTCAAACCATCCTCGGTACAGAGGCTATAATGTAGGAGGACAACCCGCCCTGTAATAGGGGCAGAGTAGGAATATGATCGGGCCCTAATATAGTCCTTCTTATCCCTCATTATAGTCACTATAGTCGCTGTTACAGAGGGCGGTCCTCCTATTAGACTCTAATTCAGAATTCAACCGGTCAGAGTCTAGCATAGGGCCTCAAACCAAATATGTGTTTCCCTGGTGTCCCATGAGAGTACCCCTCTTTGTGAAGCACCCACCCTAAGTCCTCAACCCTACTAACTCTATAGTCCAAACTCCTTGAAGGGGGGTTATATAGGGGATAATATAGGGCAGTATTTTAGGGGTGATTAAGGGCGATCCCTGCATACCCCATACACCCTCCCCAAAACTAACACGGAATCTCTTGCAGCCTACGAACCCCTTGCAGCCTCCGACCAGGACCTGTGGCACAAAGCGTGGAAGCGCACGTACGAGCCACTGCCTCTGGCAGACTCATTAGCGGACCTGATTTCGAAACTTCGGGCGAACCCTAAACCAAGTGCTGAGGGGAAGCAGGGGGAGTGAAACTACTACCTACATACTACTATAGTGGATTGTGTATGGTATCTTGTGGGGATAAGACAAGGAATTGTTCAGGAACCTGCGTTCAGGGTTCAGTATCTAGGCGGTTGCGTTTTCTGGATATGGGTTTAACAATGAGGGATTGGGGTATAGGGGTTTTGGGAGTATGGCGTTTAGGATGCTGCTATTAGGGTACGTGTGTGTATATATGTATATGCTTTCATATCAGGATCCTTAGAGCAGAGACCTGAAACACGAGAACGAACAAAACCAACTGTTATGCTGGACATGTTGTATGGTGAGCTGTGTCATGACTTCAAGATCTTGCCGGAAGGGACTTGAGAGCATATGGCACTCGTCTGGAACATGGCCATTTCTGCGCTGAAGGAGCCAAGCCATGGTTTCGCAGCCCAGAACTCCAGGTGGTTCACCATAGAGGCGCTCTCCAGACACCAGAAGCACCTGCGTACAACGACATTGCTGCTACTAATTTTGCTGGGGTTCAAGCGTGGTTACTGGCGCACATGGGATGAAGCACCATTGCTGGGTGGAGATCAAGCAGCAGAGCCCATCGCAGCCGAACCGGACGAGGCAGCACAGCCTTCAGAGGCCACAAATCCTGTCCGGATGTCCATGGCCAAATCCCGACAAGAGGTGCAGAAGGAGATATCCAAAATTCCATCCTTCCAGTATGCCGCCAAAATTCTCAGCCAGCGAAGTTGCATGCAGTCCATGGACGGCATGGAGTACATCGAGTGGGAGCTGGATCAAATTTTCCGCAAAGGAATGACGATGTGCCACACGCAATTTGACTGGGAACCCCTAGGGTTTAGGGCTAAGGGCTGAGGATCCTTTATCCGCGTCAGCATATTCATCCCTACAGGCTCTCAACCCAAAATCGTGAGCGCCGTACGCTACATACGTGTTTCTGAAAGCAGTGGCCCCCCAGAACCCATACTTGAAGGTTCATAGGACTTAGTGGGTGTATAATCCTATTATAACCTCCATGACTGCACCTAAGTAGGTTTTCCCACTGTAAGTAGGGTTATAAGCGCAGTTAAGCGTAATTACGGGGTCCCATGAACCTCCAAGCGTATCGCCCAAAACGCGTGTGTGTGCTCTGCTCTGTAGTTTTGATTCCCCGGCCCGGAACTCTAAATCCTGCACCCTAAGCCCTACTGTTGCGCTCTCTTTGTATAGGGGCCCCCCCCAACAATAGGGCTCCCAGAACATTGAATATCGGTGCCCTCAAGAAGGCTCCCCCGATAGTCTGGGGTTTGGGGATAGATTTAAAGAGGATGGTCTGGATTGATCTCGGGCCCCCAAACCAAACCTTAAGTAGAGTCTCTGAACAATGGGTTCGAACTCCTTAAGCGGCGGCCGACACACAGTCAACATGGTGCTGATATTCAAATGTGGGCTGCCTTGAGCCCTAAACCCTAAACTCTACAGGCCAAGGCATCCCAAGGCCTAAAGCCTAAACCCCAGCCCAATCCCTGGGTTTAAAAAGGCATTTCAGCCTGGGGCTTTAAACAGTACGGGTGGGAGTGGAGTCTGAGCCTTTTATGTTTTAGGGTTTTGGATTTGGGGTTTTAGGGCGTAAGGCTTTCAGCGAAAGAGCATCATGGATGGCTTCCTATAGTGACATACGGTGGATGGAGGAAATCTTGCACCACCCTATATACCGCATACCACAGGAATTACAATGTATCAGGGATCTTGAGCAGTGGAAGATTT